AGAAGAATATATCCAGAGAAGACCTACAAAGGAAGCTCCCAAGAAATAGAAGAAGATCACAGAGTTACAAAATTGGGAAGACTCCTAAGATTTGGGTCCCGTATAGGAGAAAATAGGTTAAAGTCTTTGATTGGTAAAGTTATGTCAAATTGGAAGAAGAGGAAAAGGAAACACAAATATAAACAAAAAAATCCTGGCAATAACTCTTGGCTGAAAGATGGAATAAAATTGTTTAATTTTAAAAAACTAGATTTAGATTACTGTTATGAAAAGGAGGATAGTCTAAAAGAAAGAGTAAATTGCCAATTTAGTTTAGTTAAAAATTCTTTTGTTATGAAATTATCTGTTGATAGTTTCTTCGGCTAGCTTGGTATAGCCCTCCGGAGTAGGCAATAGCCTTAACCGGTAAGCAGACTGCACTTGAGCACCCTTAGAGGAAGCTGAGTAATATCAGATCTGTAGCTTAGATAGTTTAAATGTACCTGTACATTGCTTTGATTTAATAAAGATACTAGCGAGGCTGCCAATATGTTAAAAAAAAAAAAAAGTACTACTATGGAAAGTTCTATTAAACAAGTTTATGAGTTTTGATACTGTAGATTGATTGTTATTAATGGGTTCAAATATTGTAGAGTCATTATTTTTGGATTAAATAGTATTAGTTGATGCAATGTGTTGCAAAAATGATTTATTCTTCCAATATGTATAATAGCTTTTTGACAATATTTTGTATATTTGCTTTGTTTTGGTATTTTGTTTTTATATTATTATTGTTATTTAAATTGAAGATTTGTTAAGATATACAGTCAGACCTCTTTAAGTGCATACTCTTGGGACCATACTTTAATGATATGCATTTAGAGAATAATAAGAAAAGGTGTATTTATAGATATATTTGGGCCAGAATCTAAGCGTGCATTTAGAGAGAGTATACACTTATAGAGGGTGTACTTAGAGAGGTCTGACTATACTAAAAAATTAAGTAAAATCTAATCTGATCTTTTTATACATATATTTATAGAAGAGATTTTTTTCAAATATTAACCTTGCTTGGTGTGTTGAAAATGCATTAAGAATAACCCAAACTTGCAGAAGGAATACTTCTTCCTGTGTTGTAAATACAAAGTAAAATTAAAAATTTTACTTTGTATTTGCAGCTATTAAAATTTAAAAAAGACTCTTGCTTGTATTTACTACATATGTATATAGATTATGTATATATCAAAAGTTAATAGATATCTAAAACAACAAATATGCTAACTGATTTGATAAATATAAAGCTCTTTCACTAAGCTTTGAACAATAAGTATCATAGCTGATGCTGAAATTTGAATCTATTTTGATATGAATTTTTAAAATATTTTTTTCTCACTTTTTTTTATGGTTAAGTTAGTGTTTAGAGTTAGAATTGATAATTAAAAAGTATATATAGATTTTAGTAGTACTTATATTTTCAAATCATGACTCAAAATTTCAGCAACAATAATTGATATTACTATATACATAATATGTCTATACATTTATCTCGAGAATTAATTAATTTCTAATAATACTAATTATATTTATATACATATATCTTAGTAATTTAAGAAATGCATATATCAATCAAGCATCAATATATAGCATCAATCAGAATATTATTTCTGATTGATGCTTATTGTTGCCTGATTGACCTTTTGGAACCAAAATCTGTTAGCAATAAGAAGATCTATTTACACTTTATTGTACATTATTGATAAAGGAGAAATATATCTGTATATATACAAGTTTGTTTTAGATAGAGTTAGGATCCTTTGAATATCCATCATAGCTATTTAATGAATATTTATATTGAGTTTGCAGATATTTAAATAATCTCATATGACTGCTTTCTCATATTTATCAACTATTCATACAGAATATTCTTATACAGATATTTGCACAAAAATATTCATGCAGAATATTTACAGATATTTTACACAAATTTTTGCAAAGAATATTCATACAGATATTTATAATTCTTGACTATTCACAGATTTTGTATAACAAAATATTTACTGCTAATTGAATATTCACTTTATCTGTGAATATTCGTGGATCCCAACTCTAGTTACAGAACTAGCATATACGTACGTATAATGCTACTATGTAAAGTCAAGGCTTTAAAACATGAAACGATTTGGCAAGTATACTATGTATGGGTGTTTTCAAGTATGTAGTTACGTACATACATAGTTATTGTTGTGGTGCTCAACTATTATATTGAATTTAGATATTGTTGAAAGATCTGTACATAAGTGACCCAATTTTGTAAGAATCTAGGTAAAATAAACACATCAAAATCAACTCATGTGTGCGTACATACGTATATACACATAATATATTTATTAACAATATTAATTTAATGCTACGTACTAAATAATGAATATATATACTGAATAACCACAAGGTGAAAACATGTTAACAGATATTTTACAAAAACAATACTCTAAAAGTTTGAATTATCAGAAGAAAAACATTATTAATAGAGGCACTTAGTAGAGGCATTTAGTAGAGACACTTCGTAAGAATACCTGCTGACTTGGGATCTTGAATAATGAACTTGGATCGAATGGTGAAAAAGCGTTAGCAAATGCATCTACAAAGACATCTTGCTAATTTCTTTGGAAAGAGTGAAGAAGATGGAAACATATTAGCAAGAGCACCTTGCAAAACCTTCAAGTAATAATCTTGAATCAAAAAGAGGAAAGCATAAGTAGAAGCATTTTGCAATAATACTTCGTTGATATCTTGAAATCTTGGATACAATGAACTTGAATCAGATGATGGAAAGGTTTTAGCAGATGCATTTTGCAATAACACCTCACTAACTTAGAGTTTGGAAGCGTCAATTTAGGTAAGTGTAAAGAACATCTACGTATTAATTTAGTATTTAAATAAGTCATTCTGATTGTTATTTCCCCGGAATCACTTGTTATTTCCCCGTTATTTCTTATTATTTCCCCGGGTGCACTTTAAATTTTTATATATCAGAAAATAATTCTTTTAGTTTGCATTGCGATTTTATTTTTGGCGAAAATTTTAAAATCCTTTAGCCGTTGTAATAGTGTTACTTAAATGAAGGTCTTAAAATTCTCTTAGTCACTTTATAGAACACGATAGTTATATAAAGCAAAGAGCTGTTATAATTCTCTAAGTCAGTGCAATTGTATCATTATAATTAAATACGAAGTTTTTTAAATTGCTTTAATATGATTGCATTATTAAAGTGAAAATTCGTTTTGCAATTGTCTTTTTATAACTGTTTTTTTTTTTTTTTTTTGTCGTACTGGCTAAAGTATTTGAGTCGAAAAACGCCATCATGACATTATATAAAACGAAGAATAACACCCTTATTCCCGCTGCGGGGAAATAACCCGGTAAATCCCAATCAGCCGGGCCCTTTGGGCCCCAGCTGATTGAGAGGATTTACCTCTTATTCCCGCCTGCGCGGGAAATAAATAGTACTTATTACACGGGAAGATTATGATAAAGTTTCAAGATTAATTAAATACATCTATTGAAACTAAGGACTATTGTGGAATTTATTCTAAGTACAAATACTATACATTCGATAATAAAACGAAATTGGATAATTATTTTTGTATATGTTCTAGAAACGACTCTTTGTTCTGGAATATATGCGTATCATGTACTATAATCATTATTGCCTAATTAATTATTTGCTTGCGATTAGATAATTTGCACCGTATACATAATTTAAGATCCGATGATTAATGTAAATATTACAAAACTTGGATTTACTAATTTTTCTCTAGTTCCTATTGGACACAATAGATCTCATCAGATTTTAGAAATTTTAATTCGATTAAGTAATTGAAGTATCGTTGAAATAGATGATGCAATTCTTTTCAATGAATAGGAAATACTAGACACTAACAATCATTCTATTCAGTACAAATTTGTTTTGCATTAGACCGCTTAACGTTGAATAGTTGATAAACATTATCTCTCCTCGATCAACTGTTTCCAGATTCATCAGCGATTTTAAGCTAATTATTAGGATCTGAAAACAAAATACTGGGGTTTTCTCAAACTCTAATTTTGCCTACAAATCACCTGTATTGTACCTTGCAAAATTTTGGTAGAGTATGCCTTCCTTAAAGTTGCTTCAACATTTTTCCTAATCATAATAATGTCAAAATGTTATTTTTTAATACAGTAATAGAAAATGCATTGACGATTCACAGTTATGAAGTTTAACGCAGATTCATCAAAAAAATAGTTGATTTTTTATGCGGTAACTGTAAAATGTTCGTTTATTTTCCCTTACACTTCGTGCTTAAAAAAACATTGTAATTAATTAACTAAACAACTTTAAGCAGCTTAAACGCTAATAAACCTAAATGCATTTGTAAAAAAATCTGCCAAAGGCATGTTTACGTCGTGCTTGAAGTTGACACCTGCCTAGAGTTACAACTTCAGACGCGACAGTTATACAATGTTATGATAATAAATAATGAATATTTATACCGTACAGCGCTGTATACAGTACTTACTATACATGATAAAATGAGTATGAGCATAAAATATATATTATTATTGTAAATTCAAATTACAAAATTGAAACAAGTAATTTAATAAATAAAATATAATATACATTGCGATTTATTACTTTAATGATAATACAGTATTAGCTGCAACAGACGTATAATACATAAACAATGTTTTATATACATAGATAGTTGGTTTTAACTTATATAAGATGAATCTCCAGCTAAAATTGACATATTCAATAGACTAATTATTTCTATTTTAAAGCATAATTTAATCTCTATTATTGCTCAAAATAAACAGTTGTTATTTATTTGAATAAGTTTCGATGCTTCTCATATTTAATTCTTCACCAGTGATGTAAAAGTTACATCTCTATAATTCATCTTTTATTTTTAAAATAACGTCATCGTTCAAATTGTGAGCTTTAGTTCTTTTTTTCGTTTCATTGTCATTACTCTCGTCACCTACAAGTAATAAAATATCAGCTTTATCTTCCTTTACTTCATCCTTCACAATAACATTTTCTATCACTTTTTTTACATCTTTTACATTTTTAACTATAGGTTGTATATCTTGTCCGGTATACAATGTTGGTGAATCAGCAGCATTATCATAACCTTGTTCACTTCTGCTTAACTGACCATTTAAGTTGTAGCCATTACCACCATCGGTATGACTAACTGAGTTGCCAGAATGCCCATTAGCAGCATGATCATCACCATGACTACCAGCATGCCCATCACCAACATGATTATCATGACCGCCAGCATGACTATTAAGATTATTTGTGTTAATGTCACGACCACTCTGAGAATCTTGTTAGTGTCTAGTATTTCCTATTCATTGAAAAGAATTGCATCATCTATTTCAACGATACTTCAATTACTTAA